GGAATCAGTACATGAGAACCCGAAACTATCAAAGCAGAGAGGACAAACGGGAGCAGGTGCCATCGGTATACCCAAGTTTTGGAATGTTTGCTGAGCCTTCACATCAATGTCGATTGGTAGAGGGGGATGAGAAACCTGGATAGGACCTAATAAAATGTAAACTTGATGGATTTCCAACACAAAGTGAATTATTACCGTTGCCAACTGGTTCTCGCCACAATTCCCTGACTAGATCAGGAGCGCTTCTCCCTGTACGTTCTATCTCGGCCAAGTCGGGTGGTGTGTATCTGGAGAGATAATATCCATCACCATCCAAGGCCAAGTCATTCGGAAGGAGGGCCCTACGTCGTAGCTCGCTGCATATATTTGTCGAATCTGTCCCAATTCCAACCTTCGTTGCCTAATTTCTCCCAAGCTGCTCTCCGTGCCGTTGAATACAAGACAAATCTCACTACATGACTCTCCTCACCGTCTATATCTTCTTTGGAAGGTTTGTTCCATGCTGTGAAGTTGACCGCTGAGCTCCCTCCGAGTGCTCGCCCTCTATTGGAAGGTCAGTAATTTCTGTATAGTAATCTCTTCCCCTGACCTTGACCACCGAAAAACAGCGTTGTTGGCATTTACTTGAGGTGTCTATGACTCGTGTCAGCTCAACGACAGATCCAAATAAATTGTTGAGTCTACCGTCGTTGAACACCAGTCATACTCCTTCTGACCAAGGGTATGTCCATACTGACCAATATTCACTACCCAGACACCAGTATAAAAAAGACTCCCATCAGACTAAGGGCAATCCAAACTCACGGATTAGGGGATCATTCAGGTTTTCTTCGCCGGCTTCGAGTACAAGCACTGATATTTCTGTATTCTCAGTCAAACGTGCAGCCAAGGCTAATCCAGCAGTCTGGTCGATCCGGGTACATCATTAGATTGTAGGCCCTTTAGTACTCCATCGAACTTACGCCTCCTCCTATAAAAAGGACGTGTTAGTATTTGGAGTGATCTTAAGGGTGCCCAAGAAACATACCGATGACGACATAGTCGAACGAACGGCTCGTAGCGTCTTTCAACTCGATACGAGGCATCCCTTAGTGTTTCAGGCAGTATGATCACGAATAATGGTCCAGGGAACCCCGGGGTCCGGCTGGAAAATAGTCTGGCTATAAGTAATCATTGCGAGTACATGTCACACTGACCACGACTTCATTGGCATGATACGATCAGGAGAGAAGCCAGGAACCAGGCTTGTTCGTTGGTCTGTTTTTGTGGTTGTGCTATGTATGGACAAGAAATCTGTCAACCTTCTAATTTTCACATCACCACCGCTCAACGAACATGATCAGTGCCACAGTGCCGACCTTCAAAGTCACCCGTCTTGTTTTGGAGTACACCCACCCCAGAATGAGGCTGCGGGCGCCCGAGATCTCGCCGGTCCAACCAGCCACCGGCTGACTGTTTCAACCTTGCACCACAAAACCAAACATCTCATTTGCTTCTATCCCACCTCTGTCACAATCATGAATATGCCTATCAGTTTCGTGTGACGTTCTGGACCAACTAGCTGGCTAGTTCTCGAGTTGCCAAGGTGTCTACCTAATCTTGTACACCGATGTCTCAGGCCTCGTTGATCATCATGCTGGCGAAGTCGAGAATAGGTTCGGAAGAGACGACTTGCCGGAAGGGGATCTCACAAGTTGAGAAACCTCCCGGTGCTCAAGCGCTTAACGTTCTGAAAATACACTATCTGGGATAATGAACAACAAATGCGGATATATTGCGGCCACTCCGTTCCCTCGTGTTTCCTTAACACTGGATCGTATCATCGTCTTCGGGTTAGATCGTGAAGTGTTTTGACGCCGCCACCCGTCTCCCGGGTCACCAATTACATGTTACGTATGGAGCCTCCAACGCCGTTGCCGGATGCTATACCATTTATGTAAGCTATAACTGCGTCCCTACCGGTTCTGGACTTCATTTAAATGATAATTAGATAGAACGGGGCCACCCGTGGGTCGATTCCGAAATGCCAACATCGCTTCCGTCACTCGAAGGATTGCCACCATCTCACCTCACCGGAGGTTCCTGATTGACCTGATTACTGCCTGCAAGCTGAACTTAGCGCTGCCTGATGGGCGCTGCCGTCCTGCCAGATAGTGCTTACTATTAATACACCCAGAAGAATATAAATATGATCAAGCAGTCACACCTGTTCCACGCGCATCTTCCCTTCCTCAGCCACATAATAATCGCCTAAGGTTGGGCCCGACTAGAGATTGTCTTCGCAGCTCTCAATACAACAACAACATGATAGGTGGCCCAGCAGAAGCTGTGTATGATTCTTCTTACTATACTCTTTCATTTGCATTACCAACGCGGTCGTCCATTGCAGTTACGGTCCCATGCTCATTGGGCTTGTTTTCAATATCCTCCTTTACGGAACGATGTTGGCACAAGTATACATTTATTTTACCACTTATAAAAAGTGCGTGATACTCAGAGTACCTTTGCGACTGCCCGTGCTGAGAATGATAACAGGGACCGTACTTGGATGAAGACCCTAGTAAGTTCTGCTAAGTTCGTCCCAGTCACCCGTATAGCTGATGCCCCGTTAGGTTATATTGCTCCTTATCATCGACACTTTCAATAGTGTGATGGATACAATCTTTGTCTACGATGGACTGGTCACACATTTCGGTCAGTTACGACCTCCCATATTAATCTCCTAGCAATTCACAGCGCAATTCTCAGGCGACATTCAATATATCGGACTCGCTAATTGGTGTAAGTCCGGGCTTTCCGTTCGACGACCCCCGATCTTTGACATAAGAACATTACAGACCTCGCGGCCGGTATGACTTCTCATGATGCATAGTAGGCTAGTACTCACATAGACACCATGTGAACTTAAAGATCCAGTCACAACGGTAAGTTGATCGCAATCTATTTCTAGTGTTGATCGACTCACCGTACGAATTACCAAGGGGGTTGTCGGGGTTATTGTTCAGCTCTTCTATGCATGGAGAATTTATGTCCTCATCCAAAGCTGGATCCTCGTCTTACTAGTCGTCTCAGTCTCACTCGCAGGCGGAAGTAGGTCCCATTTTCCCCCGAGTTGAAGTTACCCGTGTCCTAAAATTAACATAACAAGTTGGAGCCACTTATATCACGTTCAAGGTCACCGTGACCCCCGACTATACACAATGGGGCGCGTGGCATGTGAGTTCCGGCTGTTGGAAGCGAGTAAACTCACCCTTGAATATTCATACGATCTAGGGCATTGACGTCATTTGGCTGGGTTGCGCCGGCGCCGCTGACATTCTTATTACTATGAGCCTTGTGTGGTATCTGTGAGTTCTTTGCTTTGTTCCTCTATTTCCATCTAATCAGAATGAATTTGATAGGGTACGCCTTTCGTGGTTTGATAGTGATCCCCAACAATTCTGATAGTGCTAATTAGCGTGGTCACAAAACCGGATTTAAGAACTCGGACATGGTCGTTGATCGGATCATCAGAAGTGCGCCACTTTGGGTTAATGACCTTCCCATTCATCCACACTGACAAGTCAAAACGTATTCCAGTCACGATGCAAACTGGCCTACTGACCTCTATGGTTGCGATCACCAATCTGGCCGTCTTTATCGGTGATGTAAGTGAAACCACCCTGCAAAAATGATTCCGAGGCTTTACTGACGGTATACCATCATCAGCCGACGGGAACGTACGTCATCTATATGGGTATAGCCCTAAAAACGAAGGAAATGACCAAATTTTCAGCCACTTGATCGTCAACACCCCCCTGTGCAAGCTCTACACAAACTCTCTTATGAGTAGCCTCAATGCAAGAGGGGGGTGGAAGTTTGACCAATCCAAAGACACACCATCAAATACGCATAGTACGGGGGTTACTTCATATCACACAAACTCTACGTCCGGTGTACGATCAGTCGGAGAGACCTCGAAAACCTCGGCTGGTTTTGTATCTCGCATGATGCCAAAGAGCCTTTCCAAGGTGGGTATCAAGTTTATTGATTCGTGTCAACACTGGCGTACTAATTGGACTCGTGGGAAACCTCTCAGGGTCCGGCATCAACGCAGTCGGAGGTTTTCGTTCATGTCGAGTCTCACGAAATGCAGGATACTATACTTCCGATAGCGACAAAAAGGCCTTCCATGAACCGCAGGGATCATGAGACTGACGGTGATGCCTCATCTATCGAAGATGGCCTGGACCTTAGATACCCTGCGCGCAGAAAGGGTGATGAAGTTTAGAACCATGGTTCATCGCCTTTCCAGAGATACCATTCTGATGTTAATTCGAATGTTGTAGTTTTACACGTGTGTTTTTGTGTATTTAAGGGCTCCGCAGATTATGGTATACCCATTGATGGATTTTGTAACACTGGGGGAGCGCCGCGCAATGGATCAAACTTGTATAGACAGTTGCTTCGAGCTTCGCCGCTCCGAGGTATCATTATCAAAAATTCCTGGGGGTTCGGTGATGGGACCGTACTCTCATCATTGAATTGGTTTGTTCTGGTCTACGGTCTGCCATGGAAAAGTCAGAGCCGCAAACAATTGGCAGCTTTTCTATATCTACGATCACTTTCCTCCGAGTCGAGTCTCGACACACGATGTCCAGATGACATATACGAGTCTCAGGCGGTATGTGTGTGAAGATCTCGATAGAGGAGCCCGTCGTTTCTCTTGGTTCCATTGCGAAAGATTGGTTGGGCTACATTCCTTCGCGTACAAAGTAGACCAAAGAAACAAGAAATGCTCGGCAGAAGGGGATGCAAATCATGATGTCAATCTCTAAAATAGTTCTTCAGGTTCTGCCCGGGTCCACTCCGAACTGCGATCGAAACTCGGATGAAGAATGAAGGAGTCAGCGAAGGCGTGACACTACAACTTATTTCTATCATGGTCGGTGGAGAGTTTACACCGGCCGGACTTGGGGTGGTGGGCATAGCATTGGTCGACCAAGGGACCAAAACAATAATGCATTAAGAGGGAATCGAACCCCCGGCGGGTCGAGCTTGATGCTCAGATGGCAACGACCCAGGTTACCACTACCCCATTAATGCTTACGGGGTTAATCCACTTATCACACCATATTCACTATATGCGGATGTCGCTCACTCGATGGTGATTGTGCTGCTGTACAGCATGGACCCCAACCACGATGACTCTCTGGACCATTTTATCTCTGGCTCATCTGCAGGGCAGACCAGCACCGACAACATAAACCAACACCTGTCCTATCCTTCCCTAGACCCAGAAGAACACTTAACAAGACCCGAATCATCATCCCAGCCGCAGGGTCCTCAACTCAGCAAGGACCGTATCTACGTCGGAAACCTAAGTTCCTCCGTCGACGAGTGCGCATACCTACCAACTCAAATCATATTCATTATATACACATATTCTGGCAGATACACCCTTGTTCAGGTTTTTTCAAAGTTCGGCAAACTTACCAATGTCGATTACCTCTTCCACAAAGCCGGGCCCATGAAAGGCAAACCACGCGGTTATGCGTTTATTAAATATGCAAACGAAAGCGTAAGTCCCAGTCCTTGTTCCTTGACTGTGAAAGAACACCATCGCTCACCCCCGGGTTACTTTTTCCGGTTTTCGTCTTGCAAAAAACGGCACCATGATCTTATTATGATCCAACGCAACCGTGAATTTATTGTCTATGTTGCGTGGTGCAGCTACCTGGGGGATGGAGTTGATGAAAGATTGAAATTCTGGCGCGCGTTTCGTGGACTAGTTGCTGACGAGGCTTAATTAGGATGCACAGAAAGCCATGTCGACGGCTCACGATAAGCTCCTTCGTGGCCGGAAGATTATTGTCACGTATGCTCACCACGCTCTCATGGATTCGGGAGGAACTGGAGGAAAAGGCAGGAGGGCTATGATGGAGATTGGACGACCGACGACGCTCAGTTTGCTCAAGAGTAGATCAGTGTCTAGGCCCATTGGGTAAGTTGCTGTTCCCATTCTGTGGGTTTATGGCCTTCATCTTACCCCTGCTCGCAGAACTGCGGCCAAAATCGCCAAAATGGAGGCGAAGTTACGGCAATTGGAGAGGCAACCTGACACACCGTCAAATCCCACACCACTTCACCCCTCCCTTCCTCCCAAACCGCAAACGTCTACTGCGGACCCGCAAGCCAATCCTAATACGCGGCGAACCATGAAAGTGAACGCTTCTTCGGCTTCTAAGCCAGATGTTCCGCCGCCGTCGCTTTTGAAATTCGCTTCATCACCTTTAACATCAGCGCCATTCGTATCATCAACCTTATCTTCGAAACCAAACAAACCGAAGTCGAAGTTCCTTGGCGTTAAAATCAAACCGAAGGAGAAGGACAAAACAATATCGGCGGCTGTTCCAAAGACAGACTGACACCCTGTATCATATCTTGCATAATATACTAATCCTCTTTCATTATGGCGGATGGGCGGTCAGTGTCTCGTAGTGCATGTCATGTTCATAATCGTTATATTGACACACGAAAGCATGATGATGAAAAGAAAATATAGAGCCCCAAGCAACACATCAGACGACTGTGCCGGCGTTGGAGGCAATACGGGGCCATAGATCGGCCTACAATGTAATCAGTATGGTTGGCGGAGGTGATATGCCAGGGACGTACGCATTCTTTTGCAACGGGACCTGTGATTGCTGAGCCCTTCATTTCACCCTTGGGGTTGACAATTACGCCAGCATTATCCTGTTAACCATCAGACACAGGACTCGGTGGATTGTCGGGTACCACTCACTTCGAAGTATAGGAAGACACCATCTCTCCGGCGCCATGCTTTGCGTTGGCGCACAACAACAGCGGGCATGGCTATAAATATACTCGTCAGCATCTTGCCTGCTCTATCTCGACCGCCCATCCCAATCCCCCATCCTATCCCATGCGCAATTCGGGCCAGATAAGATAAACCACTCACTCTTCTTCCTCAACTCGGGCTTTCCCTTCTTCACGGAAGCAACAACCATATCGCCAACACCAGCATCTGGCAGCCTGTTGAGGTGGGCACCGAAGCCGAAGGGTTCAATGACGAAAAGGGATTTGGCGCCGCTGTTGTCAGCGCAGTTCAGGACGGCACCGACGGGAAGACCGAGAGTGAGACGGAATTTTGTGCCAGAGGCTCCTCCACCTGTAGTCATACATCATATATATGAGAACACCCAGCGTAAAGACGAGACGTGCCTTTTGCTGCCATTTTGAAAGAAAGTCTTGACGGTCTTGACGAAGCTTGGGTAACCAGTTAGACGTATCCCAATCAAGGTTTCCTGCCGCTCTCGGCATCAATCACTTGTACAGTTCCTCGGCAATAGCCGAGGTATCTGCCACGTGACCGAGTATCAGCGAACGCGTCGCGCTTGCTTTCTCCAACTCCTTCTGTCTAGATTCCCAACAGTAATGCACGCTGCATTCACCTCGGTTAAGATGACATCGGGCGGTATCATGGCAAAATTCTGGCATCGTGTAACCTCTTTAGCTACGTGAGAATATAGAAGGTACGCGTGATTCGTGAAGCCTAGACTATGGTCTTACACATCTGCATCATATAGTTTGGTTGTCGACTAAATGCACGTTTACGGGAAACATATTTTACGGAAACCAACGGAAAAGACCCGGGTGAAAGACGTCAGGATCTCCTCCCCTAGAAGCTCGAACGGCGGGGACCGAAGTCTGCATATGCTGATAGCATCAAGAAGCCGTCAAATATCGTGTCCATCTTCCCTAAAACCATCACCTCGGCGGTACTATTCTCTCGCCGATATGGGTCGAGGATGCTCCTAAATATTCCGACTTCTCCAAGCCGAATGGCGTATACTTTCTTGCCGCGACCGGGGCTCTGATAAACATCTACTGTAACGGCCTCCACGAAACTTCATCGCGTCGGAACGGAACGCTATCGATGGAAGAGATCGTCACCCGCTCTCGCGCCCAACCACCCACGCTCAGGGCGTCCCTATGCCAATCGCTCTGGCATCCATTTGTTACCCCGTATCTCTGTTGAAGTTGGGGCCGCACCACTGGTTACGGAAACCACAGTGGCAAATATATTGCATGTTCGACCCCTAAAGGCAGGCGCCAACTAGGCCTTGACGGCCGGAACATCAGATGTTTATGAGAGAATGTTCTCAGATGACCCACGCCATGATGAGCATACCTGATATGTCCACAGAACACCGATCAGCTGATTCAACAAGGTGAGAATGGTACTGTAGCATTTTCACGAAGCAACTTATCGCAGTTATCCCAAAAATAGCCTCCTGTTATCAATACCTGAAAGTTTTCTTTGCCTTCGCTAAGCTTGAAGCGATGTAGTTTGGGTCGCGACTTGCGTGTGGTAGGTTACGCGACCGATGACCAAGCGATATATCCTAGCGACTGCTGCAGTCAGTTCGACGCTGAGATTAATGACAGGGAGCTGACGATAAATGGGGTAAATCAGCCAAGCGTCTAGTGTTGCTAATTCAACCTGGTAAAGTGCCTTCTGACGTCACGTGCAGGCCCATAACCCCTCTTGAGAAAGCCCTTGGAGGGATAGACCTCTGGAATAGATATATTCCAGGCCACTGGGTATATAAGTCTGTTCTTACGTGTCGATATCCTAGTCATCTTTCTCTTGGTCACCCATTTCCTTGACAGTGATGCCTTCCAACGCTGTGTATAACAACAAAGACGGTGCTGTTTACACCACCTCCAACGGAGCGCCCGCCAACGAGCCCTACTCGGCTCAGAGGGCTGGCCTTTTTGGACCTCTCCTCCTCCAAGGTGCGCCCCGCGCTCAGAACTGCTTCCTCCCCCATCCTAACCCACATGCAGATTTCCATCACATCGATCTTCTCGCCCACTTCGATCGCGAGCGTATCCCAGAGCGTGTCGTGAGTGTTTCCGATTCGTGTTGTATGGATATCGATCAACCTTTGTCCCCAGGTCCATGCCAAAGGTGTCGGCGCTCACGGTTACTTCGAAGTCACTCATGATTTGAGTGATATCACCTCTCAGTCTCTCTTCCAAGGTGTTGGCAAGAAGGCTCGCGTCACTGCTCGTTTCTCCACTGTCGGTGGTGAATCTGGCTCTGCCGATACCGCTCGAGACCCTCGTGGTTTCGCCCTTAAGCTCAGGACTGAGGAAGGTAACTGGGACTGGGTCTTTAACAACACCCCCGTCTTCTTCATTCGTGACCCTGCCAAATTCCCGCACTTCATCCACACTCAGAAGAGGGATCCTCAGACCCATCTCAAAGATCCTGACATGTTCTGGGTACGTCAACAGAATGTATTACACCCCTTGACCAGCTGATGAACTCGTTCTTTGATCAGGACTACCTCTCCCAAAACCCTGAATCAATCCACCAGATTATGATTCTCTTCTCCGATCGTGGAACTCCTGATGGTTTCTACCAGCAACACGGGTACTCAGGTCACGCCTTCAAGTGGTGCAAGGCCGATGGTTCTTTCGTGTACGTTCAGGTCCACTGCCGCGCTGACGGTGGCTTCAAGGTTAGTCCGAGCCCCTTTCCTAATGTTTCCATCTGATTCAGTTTTGAATACATCTAGACTCTTGATAATGCCACGGCGACCCGTCTCAGTGGAGAGAACCCAGACCATGGTACTGAACAGCTCTTCGAGGCGATCGAGAACGGAAAATTCCCCTCTTGGACTGTCTACATTGTACGTCCTGGATTGATCACCCAATCACATCCCTGCGATTTGCTCATCAACTTAATTAGCAAACCATGACCCCGGAACAAGCGGAGAAGTTCCGCTATAACATCCTTGATCTTACTAAGGTTTGGCCGCACAAAGAATACCCCCTCCGTCCCATTGGAAAACTCGTTCTCAACGAGAATCCACAAAACTATTTTGCCGAGATCGAGCAGGTGTGTTGTTATTTTTAGGACCTCCAACTTTCGCATCATCAAGAATCGCATTCTGATTATCTTTTATCGCATCGTTTGATAGGCCGCCTTCGCTCCTTCTCACCTCGTGCCCTACATCGAACCCTCCGCCGATCCCGTCCTTCAGTCCCGTCTGTTCTCCTACCCCGATACC